GGAGATGGAGACTTAACAACACTATCAAATAACTAGGTTACTATCTGGGAGGAGATCAACACAGATGAAAGATGATGAAGGAAATTTAATTATCAAAGAAGAGAAACAAAGGAAACGACGGACCGACCACTTCAAGAAGCTCTTGAATCGACCACGACCACCACCGGCACTTCGTCCAGAAATACCAGCTGCAGCCCAGCCACAGAACTACCAGTCAACACAAATCCTCCAACAAAAGTCGACTTCCTGAGCTCCATAAAGCTACTGAAATGTGGGAAAGCAGCAGGACCAGATGGGATCCCACCAGATGCACTGAGAAGAGATGCAGGGACAACAGCGGACATGCTTACATCACTATTGCAGAAGGTGTGGGAGGAAGAGAAGGTACCTGGCCATTGATTGGAAGAAGGGTTACCTTGTCAAACTGCCGAAGAAAGGAGACCTCAGTGTTTGCAAGAACTGGCGCGGAATCACTCTCCTGTCCACCCACAGCAAGCAAAATATTAAGCCGCATCATCCTAGAGAGACTAATCGATGCCCTATATTCAAAACTACGACCGGAACAGGTTGGATTCAGGAAGTACAAATCATGTGTGGATCAAATTACAACGCGATGCTATGCATCATCATACAACAGAGTATACAATGGCAGTCAACCCTCTACATCAACTCAACTTCATCGACTTTGAAAAGGCCTTCGACAGCATCGACCGAGAACTAATTTAGCAGGCAGTTGCTTCAACACTACGCTTTTAGTGACACAAACCTTTTCAACCTCATTCAACAACTATAAGAAGACGCCACATGTCAAGTGATCCACAATGGAAATCTCAGTGATGCCTTTGAAGTGAAGACAGGAGTAAGACAAAGCTGCTTACTATCACCGATAATCTTCCTGATCGTAGTCGACTGGATCATGCAACAAACAGTGAGGAGTGAGAAGAGGCGGATACGCTGGCTGCCATGATGAAAACATCCTAGAAGATTTCGATATCGCCGCCGATGATCATTTATGTCTAATGTCACACAAACTTGAAGATCTAAAGCTGAAAACTAACAAGTTGACAGAAGAGGTAGGGTAGTAAAGACGAAACTTCAGGTGAACGTAGAGAAGACAGAGGTGATGAAGATAACCCAACCGACACCACCACCACCAACAACAACAAGGTCCAATCACCATCAATGGGAGAAACTTAGAGGAAGTAGCCTCTTTCACCTATCTAGGCAGCACTGTTTCAACTACAGGTGGCATGGACGAGGACGTCGAAGTCAGGATCGGGCAATCAATAGAATATGAGTGATCTACACTCGAGTATAATCAGCAGATAAATTATTGAACATGTACCAATGACAATAATGATGCTTGACGGGTTAGAACACCGCTCCACGTACCGCGGGTTTGGGCAACTAAGCAGTATTGTTAACCATTATTTGGTTGAAGAGGATCGGCAGTAAGCCCTACGTTTGACATACGTTTAGTGCTTGTTGCGATTCGTCTGCAACTTCGAGGGAACTGATGGGCTGTGTGAGATTCGAAAATTCATCACCCAATGTTGCAGTCATTGACACTACTATTGAACTACTCGGGCCGCAGTTGTCTGACTTCCCATAAAAGCCTCGTTTAGATACACTAGTTGATGACTGGAGAACAACCAAGTGAAACTCACTGCAATTCAACGCTATGGTGATCCACCTAGCTTGGTGACCACATTGCAAAGTGATCGGTAGAATCCGGTCAGTACATGAAATTAGTTTCTCTCCAGTAGTCAATCAATATATCTAATCCAGTCCTACAGGAAGTCAGTCACCTAGATGACTACAACACTGGGTGACGCGAAATCACATCTCAAGTTAGTAGATATGTCTTGTTGATGAATGCCCAAACAAGCACGAAATAAGTAAATCGGACAAAGCTTCCTATTGACTGCCTCCAACCAACCAACATCCATTAAAGTGGATCGTATTGCTGAGCCTTCCCTCTATCTGAATGCTGACCATTGCAGACATGATTGATCATCATCATTATCAACATAGGACCAGGCATTACTGACTAACGGTCCGAGTTGCCACACCTCATATCACCACATCAAGTAAAAAGGTAGTGAGGTGAAGGATGAAGATAAGTGAATGCAGTCAAAAGAAATATAAAGTACGAGAAGAAAGGAAAGAGGAGTGACAAAATAGTGAGATTCGGTATAGTGTTGTTAAGATGAGGATAATGTGTGTATACATCTGCGCCACTGACTTCGGTTCTGAGCCATATCACCTAGAGTCAGTCTCCAACCACTGGTTCCTCTTGTCCCGTGGACCCCAACTACCTAGTCTGCATCGTCCTACATGGCTCAAACCAACAGTCAAACACTTCACACATTGGTGCCATGTTTTAGTCTGGCCACCTCACCTCTAGCCTTTTTCCAGCCTGGACCCACCTCAGCCAACATTGTGTGACGAGGCAATCGGTGACTAGGCATACGTAGTACGTGTCCCAGCCATCTCAGTCGATGAAGGTTAACAACCTCGTCAACTGACTTACCTCTTCTCCCCAAAACTCTACACCTAACTTCTGCATTACTCACATGGCGACACCACGGAATACGTCCTATATTACGAAGGCAACGGTGGTCAAACACCTCAAGCCTTTTTGTATCCTCCACTTTCAATGGCCATGTTTCACAGCCATATAGTAGAACAGAGCGGACTGCTGTGCAGTACACACCACCCTTAATAGACAATCGGATATCACGGCGGCGCCATAGGTGGCGCAAATTGGCAAAAGCCAATCGAGCCTTTTGTATCCGTGCAGAAATCTCATCGGCAACTAACCCACCGGAGTTGATCCTACTTCCCAGGTAAGTGAAGTAGTCAACACACTCAACCACTTCACTCTCTATTGTTAACCGCGGTGGGGTACCGCTGAAGACCAGTCCTGGAGCAAAAATTTGCATTTGGGTGGTGGAAATCGCATCGCATGATTGATAGAATTCAGTCGCCAATCAGGACTAGACGACATAAGATTGGTTACCCTCCAGTGTGATCAATCACAATAGATGGAATGCATTGTCTACTATACGAATGGGTACAGAGGTTACTGAATGATTTTTGATTTTATTTTGTCTTGAAATAACAAATAAATACTGTCAAAAAAAAAATCAACTACTCACCGTGTTTAGTTGGATTGAATAGAACAATAAATTTCAGGCATGTAAATTCTTTATGATCCAATTGTAATTTTTCAAATGTCTTTAATAAATCATTTATTTTATGCTTTAATTCTGATTGTGTACCTAGGAGATTGTTTAATAAAGCTTCAATTAAATTGCATATTTCTACAGATATAGACAAGTTGGACAATGATGATGCTAGCCCATTATTATTATTATTATTATTATTATTATTATTATTATTATTATTCACAGGAGTTTTGTTCATTGAAAATAAGGATGAATAAATATTCAATGGATCCAAAATGTTGTTTGAATGTGGTTTTGTCTCCTAGTGAAAGAGGAAACAAAAGAGATATATTTTTTTTTATCAGTTATAAATTGATACAAATTACAGTATAACTAGTAAAATCTAACTGATGTAGAGAAATAAATTTCTGATGTTTCACTACTTCATGGAACTTGGATCTTCAGAGAATAAAAAATGATGACACTAATCATCATGTAATAAACAATTGTCGCCATTTACTATTTAAACATGAAATAACCAGTAAAAGGATCAATTCTCTGAAGAAATAACTTTTGCGAGGTTGTAATATGTTAGGAATTCATTTTACTACCTTAATGAGAAGTTATAAATATACTTCACTTAGAATCCATTTACTCAATGCCTAATGTCAAAAAGCTCAACCTCTATTGATAGATGAAGTCCTATACAAATGCCTCCATATTGTCTGGGTATTCATTATGCTTATATTGTAGCCCGCTCGATGGATATCAGGTCAAAAGTTTGGCCATGAAGTCTATAAATCAACTAAACACCGTAGATCAAAACAGAAGAGACTACTATACCTCATGAATAGAATGGTTAATTGGAAAACAACCGTTAATGTAAAAGTCTGATCCAAGTGGTTCGTACACTACAGTGATAATATAATACATAAGCTCTATTTATCTATACTTGACCAGTAACCAGTGTGCCACCGAGAAACAGATCACATGTGTGAATGATGCCTAATAAGAAATAAGTACACCAAACATTCTTCAAGCACATTATGCATCATATGGGTTCATATTAAACTGATCACTTCGACTTCCAATGAGCACCTTAATGTGGATTTATAACTACCAAAGCTTAGAAATTAGTATCTTCTAAGCTTCGGATTGTTCATCCGAATTCCCATAACCTCAGATATATATAAGAGGTGAATTCGAACTCCATCGGAAAAGTTCAATAGGATGGGCCCCACTCCCAGTAACCACTACCAAATAGATGCATATATTCAACCTATCCATTCGGTTCCTAGTGGAACATAGGGCTTCACTAGCACGTCCTCATTTCACTCTCTTCTACACAGTCTTTTCTACCTGGCTCCACGACACGAGCTTTCATTTCTTCCTCACATTTCCTCCTCCATGTCACCCTCAGCTCAGATACCCAACTCATGGTTTCCCCTTTGGCTTCCACTTGACGGCGTGGCGTGCGACGTCACCAAACCGTCTTCTCAGTGTACACCCAATCCAAACCAATGCAATCCATCTCCACTGCCTTCTGCATATTCGTTGGGCGATGGGTTCTTGGTTGGTTCATTGCTAGCCAGTCAGAGTTCCTTGTTCCTTGCTTATTCTTATTACACTGGCCATCCATCTGATCTTCAGTGTCAGTATCAAGTGAGCGTAGGTATCAACTGTTGATGAATGTCTGTAGTTTGTTGGAAATACTTTTCGTAACGCACCGCCAAGTCTCTCAATCATCACATAGAATCACCGATTTACTTGACTGATATAAGTGTTGAAAATCTGGATGTTGTTCACGCTTTATGCTGAGTGCAATGGAGTGGAGTGGAGTGGAGTGCAGTAGATCTGACAGTGATTTCAGATAAGTGAAGATGTATCTTGGTGTCATTCCATTCCTCGCTTTGACATTCTCATCTGTGCCACCGCCGCCGCCACTGCCTGTAGTTGAAATGATGCTGTCTAGGTAGGTAGGTAGGTAGGTAGGTAAGTGTAGATTGGTGAAAGAGATAACTTTCTTTAGATTCCTGCCGTTAATGGTGATTGGTGCTTGTTGTTGTTGGTTGGGTATCTTCATCACCTCTGTCTTCTCTACGTTCACCTGAAGGGAGTTTTGTCTTCCTTCGCTACCCTCTCTCTTTTCCCAACTTGTTGTTTTTCATCTACAGATCTTCGAGTTTGTGCGGCAAAAGACATTAAACATAAATCCTCATCGGCGGCGAAATCCAAACCCTCTAGAGTCTTTTCATCTATCCAGAGTATGTCCATCTTCTCGCTTCTCATAGTTTGTTGTATGATCAGGTCGACCACAATCAGGAAGATCATCGGTGATAATACGTTGGTTAAGTTGTCTATATCGAGTGCACGACTAGGCACGACATCACGTGTTAACTGTAACCTTAGCCTGCGGAAAAAGCTGTTCGTTGTAAGTCACTGATGCAAAGGCGAAAGTTAGCTACCTCGCCGAAACTGGCATAGAAGTTATCCGTCTTCCTGTAGCCGCAAACAAACGCGGTCATGTATATATATATATATATATATATATATATATATATATATATATATATATATATATATATATATATATATATATAGCTAGAAGGACAAGTAAACACAAAATATAACCTAATTATTACTAAAAAGATTTTAACATCCCAATTAGTTTATAGGGTAATTCTAAAGGCAGGTTACAAGTTGTTTACGGATCGTTAGTCATTTTATCGCTATTTTATTTAAAAAGAATTTCTTAATGATCTGATTAAGTGATAAATAAGAGGTCAGATGATCAGCGAACTGTATAACAGTGTCATAGCATTTTCTGTTCCTCCTTTAACCATATACACATATGCATCATCACTATTATTGGGCTGTTAAGTATATTATGTCCATATATATGCGTACACTGATTTGTGACAAGTTGCCATGTTCCATGTTGATAACGACTGAATTCATATCAGTACAATGGGTAAGGAGGAAATTGGTCATAACTGAAAAAAGTAGTTTTTTTAACTTGTTACTTTTTATATACCTACCTTACTGGGAAAATATAACTATTTAAATGACATTGACCTAAGAGGAACTCACTTAGAACTTTCAGTTCCTAATCAGTTTACGGTTTACAACCGATGCCTTTATACATTGCACTACCAAGACCATAAACATACAAATATACCGCTTAATAACTTGAAACCACATGAGTATTATTTAAACATCAGATGGTTGTATCGCTTGTTCGGCACCAAGTTCATCTGCACTGCAGTCGAACAAATTCAACTCATATCACCGAATTGTTTAGAGCTTTTTAGGTTAGCATACGAATAACAAATATTATACTTAGAAGATGGTAAGACAGATCAATGGTGGCAAAGATAGCAGATAAAACAAAAACAAAGCTATGAGATAACTGTTTCGATATACTTGGAATAATCTATTGAAAACTGTTAACATTCAACAGCTATTTTGTCCTAATTTGTAACTTCCAAGCAACATCACCTAGTCACTAAGTTAGAATCGTATGATTTATGTTTTTCTACTTCTGTCAATGCTCAACAAAGCTTCGAGAAATCTGTTAATGGATCCGTAGCTGATACTGATTCATGATGAAAACTAATCTGAAATTAGTTAATCCCCAGGAAACACCAGTTGATTTATAATACACTTAATAAAAGTTAATTAATTCCTATTTGTATTTTCTTACCGCATAGATTCCCGGCAGATGACATAAGAAACTCAATAAAGAAGCCTGAACTTGCTTATACTATCACAGAATGGTGTGATGTCTTAATCTTGCATAACCGAAGCGTTCTACAGAATACAACGAATCTAATGCATCCTTAAACTGAATATGTTACACATACTATACTAGCATAACCAACTACTTAGTACACAAACGCATACATCGGTAAGATTTCTGAGTTCCTGTTCGTCTGGGGAAAGTGAAGTAAGATAAAGCAATTGACAAAATCTCTAAGCTAACTACATGCGTTACGATAAACAATATATTCTCAGGTTACATACATACATCAGTTTGAACATTTCTTAATGCGAATAGCCTATTGTTGCGACAAAGAGTGAAGTGGTAGAATGTGTCGGCCGCTTCACCTACTAGGGAGTTGCATCAACTCGAACGAGTTGGTTCCAGATGAAATCTTAGCTTGGATACAAAACGCCCGTTTGGCATTTGCCAATTTCCATCATCTCTGGCGCCGATTGGAGAGATATCCAATTACCTATTAAAGAACTAGTATACTGGGTCGCAGTTCGTTGTCCTGTTGCACATCTGTGAGACATGACCGTTGAAAGTAGAAGATATGCAGAGACCACAGAGTTTCGACCATAGGTATCTTCGCAGCACTGCTGGAGTTTGATGGGACCACCAAGTGAGCAATTTGAAGGTCAGATGAAAGGTACCAGGGAAGATAAGCAAGTCAACTGATGAAGTTCTTAACCTATGTCGACTAAGATGCCTCGGACATGGGTTGTGAATGCCCGACAAACGTCTACCTCGAAGAGGCCATGCTACGAAAAGCTGCATTAGGTTGGAAGAGGGGTTCATGGTGGCAAGACCAAAAGTTGGGACCAGTTGATGAAGTTCTTGACTGTTGGTTTGAACCATGTGGAGAGATATAAACTGCCTGACTGGGGTCCTCAAGACGAACGAACTCGGTGGTTGCAGACTTTTAGTGGCATAGCTGAAAATTAGTCAGAATAGGGCAGATGCATGCACAATATTTTATCCTCAAATTCTTCAGTATTTTCATGAATCTTTCATCAATTTATTCTATATCCTTTCATACACAGTTGTCTACCTCGTTACATCACTCGTCTTCTATCCACTTGTTTCAATGCTGCTATCAAATGTGGCAACTTGAATCGATGCACTTCTGTGACAGATTCTATATCAATTTTCCTGCCTGCTTGTTGTTGTGATGACGGAGGGAGGCAACACTCATAAAAAGTTAAAATATGTTGATAAACTGAAGCGCGAAAGGAAGTAGGAGACAAAACTAAGGAAGGTTTTTTTACGAAGTGAATAAACTGGTGGGTGCCCATCAGTATGGTTGGAAGACATATTCTATGTATAAACTACGGATGGATTATCGGCTACTGGGGAATATGATTCTTAGACTACATGTCTAATTCAGTGAAAGTGAGAATTACGACCCCAATGTTGCATTAAATCCTAGACATACTTCGTACTAGTTCTATGTTTATTTTAGATTGATAATAATGAATAGTGACTAGCAGTAAGTCTAGGACGTGCATTTCGTCCTATTCAGGACTCGTCAACTGGATGTACTTTCAACCCCAGTGAGGAATGATATTGTTCCCATGTAGACTCGAACTTCATGATCATTGCTTCAAACGCCAAGGGATTATCCACTAGGCTACTGAGTCACGATAACCGATTCTTGTGCGATAGGTATAGAGTTTTTATGTTGCTACTTGTATTATCCCATCGTTGAATGGATCAAATTGATCGATCACTATTGGTATATAGGCTCCTGCACCGATGCCTCAATTTTATGTGTATTTCAACTTTATATCATATGAGTGTCAGCCAAACACGAAATCTAATATCTTTAATCAAAAAAATAACAATTCACTCTTTTTTTTCTTGAAATATTCAAGTATCATATAATAAAGGAAGAAACAAGAAAATTACTCACCGAATCGGCCCTTCTAACATTATTTAAATGTGTTAGATAGAAATGAATAAATTCCAATAGGATAATTTCACTCCAACTACTATTCAACAATTGCATTTTATCTTCAACCTTCAAAACAAAAGAGTAAAACACAAATAAACAATTGAAAATGAACAATCTATCCAATATAAGCATGATACATATTAGCATCGAATAGAAATCTGACAGCTTACAAATTACAAATTTATTGGGGGTGGTATATTCTATACTGGAAATTAAACAACTTGTATAATGAAATAAAGAAGTGAGAAGATGGCTGGATCGATGAAAAGATCCTAGAAGAGTTGGATCTCGCCGCCGATGAGGATTTGTGTCTAATGTCTTTTGTCGCACAAACTCGAAGATCTGTAGATGAAAAACAACAAGTTGGGAAAAGAGAGAGGGTAGCGAAGGAAGACAAAACTCCCTTCAGGTGAACGTAGAGAAGACAGAGGTGATGAAGATACCCAACCAACAACAACAAGCACCAATCACCATTAACGGCAGGAATCTAAAGAAAGTTATCTCTTTCATCAATCTACACTTACCTACCTACCTACCTACCTACCTACCTACCTACCTAGACAGCATCGTTTCAACTACAGGCAGTGGCGGCGGCAGTGGCACAGATGAGAATGTCAAAGCGAGGAATGGAATGACACCAAGACACATCTTCACTTATCTGAAATCAGTGTGGAGATCTACTGCACTCCACTCCACTCCACTCCATTGCACTCAGCATAAAGCGTGAACAACATCCAGATTTTCAACACTTATATCAGTCAAGTAAATCGGTGATTCTATGTGATGATTGAGAGACTTGGCGGTGCGTTACGAAAAGTATTTCCAACAAACTACAGACATTCATCAACAGTTGATACCTACGCTCACTTGATACTGACACTGAAGATCAGATGGATGGCCAGTGTAATAAGAATAAGCAAGGAACAAGGAACTCTGACTGGCTGGCAATGAACCAACCAAGAACCCATCGCCCAACGAATATGCAGAAGGCAGTGGAGATGGATTGCATTGGTTTGGATTGGGTGTACACTGAGAAGACGGTTTGGTGACGTCGCACGCCACGCCGTCAAGTGGAAGCCAAAGGGGAAACCATGAGTTGGGTATCTGAGCTGAGGGTGACATGGAGGAGGAAATGTGAGGAAGAAATGAAAGCTCGTGTGGTGGAGCCAGGTAGAAAAGACTGTGTAGAAGAGAGTGAAATGAGGACGTGCTAGTGAAGCCCTATGTTCCACTAGGAACCCAAGGGACAACGGATAATAATAATAATAATAGTAATGAAATAAGACGATGAATTGTCCCACAATGCTGAAGATGACGGTTAATCTTGATTAACCTTCACAAGGAATGATTAAAAACTACCACAGCAACATTGGCCTGCATTTGCGATACCCAGCTGACAGCTGCTACCTTGACGTGGTGGTCGAGCTTGCATATCACAATGACTCAACGTGCTATGCTGGTGGAACACTTGTTCCCTCGAGGCCCTACCATACCAGAAATTTCTGTTCGATAGTGGTTAGACGAAGAGCAGTTACCGTTGTGCTGTGAACTGCTATACTATGATGGGGGTCTGAGGGCGAAGTCGTACTGCTGCTAGCTGGATGGGGTGTGACAGCAGTAAGGTGTTTCCCTTGTATGACCAGCAGTGCTGCCTTCTCAGTGGAATTGGGGGTTAGAAAAGGTCAGCCCCAAAAATAACACACTCCACAATACACCACGGTCAGACGGGTAAGCGGTTTTGGTTCATTTATCTTTTCTTCTCGACCATCCAGCCCCAAATATACAAAAGTTCAAAATAATCATACACAAAAGGCTGAGTGTAACAGGCCTTAAGCAGATGTCCCATGGGTGGAAAAAGTCAACAACGGTTAGTTAGACTATAGCGGAGAAGGACGGATCTGCGATTCACTCGCAGAGAAGACGACTGGAATGATGAGCAGAACACTTCGAGGAACAGTTTAACTGGCCTCCTGTCATAATTGCGTTGTCCGCTATCCCGTCAAATCCTGAACAGAACATTTGAATAGATCCCCAGCACTTGTGGAACTCGAGAAAGCGGTAGATAACCTGAAACGAGGAAGGGCGGCAGCACCAAACGGACTAGCTCCAGGGGTATACAAGGATGGTGGTAGGGTGCTCTTAGTCAGGTTAACGGAAGTATTAACTAGTATATGGGAATCAAATACGATCCCCTCTGACTGGTCTAAATCACTGATTATCCCAGTTTTCAAGAAAGGCGAGAAGTCCTCTTGTGATAACCACGGAGGAATCAGCCTGACGAACATAGTGTCTAAGGTTGTATCGACTAAATATTCATGCTGAGACAGGTTCTGGAACACAGACACGCTTACCGACGCCCAACACTAGGTGTATTTCTCGACTTGAAGACTGCAGGATTCGACTCCGTTGGTTGAGAAGTCTTATGGCAATGTCTACAAATGAAAGGCGTGCCGAGTAAGTACATCAACTTATTGAAAGCTCTCTACTCGAACACTTGTGGGCGTTACATCCTATGGTGTGATGTCCAGGAAGCTATCCTCATCGAGTGGTGTCCGTCAAGGATGCCCACTCTCTCCATTCTTATTCAATTTTATCATAGACATTCTTATAGAGGTCTCCCTCTCATCACCTGATTACACAGACGTTGACCTAACCACAGGTGAATTTTCGTTAGACTTAGAATATGCAGATGACATTGTCCTATTACGTGAAGACGCTGACAAGATGCAGGGTCTTCTGAACACTTTCAGTGGCAATTTGAGAATGTTTGGAAATGTTTGCATTTCTCACCACCCAAATGCAAATTGTTGCTCCAGTATTGGTTTTCTACGGTGCCCCACTGCGGCTAACAAACGAGTGTAGTGGTTGAGTGTGTCGACCACCTCAATTATCCGGGAAGTAGGGATCAGCCCTGGTGCCTCAGTGGCTGATGAAATCTCTGCACGGTTACGAAACACTCGGTTGGCTTTCGCCAACTTACACCACTTGCAGCGCCACTGTGATATCCGACTGTCTATTAAGTATGGTGTGTACTGCACAGCAGTGCACTCTGTTCTACCGTATAACTGTGAAACATGACCATTGAAGCTGGAAAACCTGAGAAGGCTTCAAGTGTTTGACCACTGTTGCCCTTGGCGTTTGAAGCGATAGGTACGAGGTTCGAGTCTCAGAGGGAACAACATTACTCACTGAGGTGCAGGTACCGCCAGCTGACGAGTCTCAAATAGAACGAAACACGCGTTCTGGGTTCTCCTGCTAGTCACAGGCAAACAGATAATCATAAAACTGTTGTTTCAGATCACCCACGAATACCATTTTGATTTTTTTCCACGTGTATCAATATAAAAATAGTGGTTTCTAATGTTCCTTCAATGGATAGTAGTCTATAAATGAACACCAACCTGAGAAAATCAGTTATGTTGGAAAAGTGTAACCATCTAACGAAAGATAGCCAGTGGGACTGGTATCATGTTCTGATCGCCAAAAACCTCCAAATGAAAGTATTAACGACGGACAACACATTTGACTGCAGTAAGGGTAGGACAAGTCGATGAGTTTCAAAATAAAAATAATACAACTTCTACAACCGGAATGCTAAAATCTTCTTATCTAATATAATACTTTCAGAGAACAACAACTTGAACAAGTGAAAAACAGAAATGCGATTTATATGATCTCTCCAATTCAAAGTCTGTTCCCATGTCTATAGATGAAGTTTACCTTCTGAAGTATTCGAAAGTAATTATAGTGATCAGTAAGGAATTGTATAAACTGTTTAATCAGGTTTCACTTCAAAACAAAAATACACAGTACTAAGAAAAGTGGTGAAATTTCCGCCAGAGACTGATGGAATGAGAATTACTTTTAGACAATCAGCTTCTTCAAAGATCTGAAACGCGAAAGTTGGATCATGTAACAAACATGAAAGTCAGATCAAGTATTTCATTATAATCTGGAGCTGTATTTATCGAATTGATAATATAATAATAATTATTATATTATAATATTCGTTTCATCCTTCATGAACCTTGAGATATTTAGTGAGGAGTCTTTAGTTATCCTCTCATCAGAGCATTCATTCGGTTATACTACTTGACTGTTCACTAGATTAGAGACCAGCTAAATATGTTTCCAACTAGTGAGAATCTATACTGAACCGAATAAAATCTAAGCTTTCAACAGTTTTCATACAAGAGTTAAATCCCTCTTTTGCATACAACTGATAACAATCAAGCTACTGAGTAGAAGTGTGCAGACAAAAATCCCGTACATAGCTGTGTGCACCAGCCAATGAAGTCAATAAATCAATATTAACATGAGACCTGTCAGTACTGTGTAACGTTCAACTTGCTACACTTCGAATCAGCACCACAGAATGAGGTAAGATAAAAGAGAAATATATATAAACTATGATCAAGATTTGATCGTATAGTATGGCAAATATTGGGCGTTGAGTAAAAGGTTGACATTAGACATAGAATTGTATTTGTGTAAATCATAGGGGGGTTCGAAATCAAATAATTCCAACGTTTCGCACGGAAGTCTGGTCCAAGCTTCTTCAGGGAAATAATCAAAATTAAAATATCAAGGATATATAAATGAATTCAAAAAACGTATATTTAATCTCCTCGTCCAATCCTCTTCGTATAGTCATTGTCTTCCCAAATTATGATAACTAATCATACAGTGTGAAATTGCATGTCTCTTGTTGTATGGTATGTGGATGTGTATGTACTCCAATTCATATTCGTCTTGATTATAAATATCAGATAAAAAGGACATTGGTGACAGTCATTCGGTGGAAAAATTAGCAGAAAGTCCCAAGGAAAATTAAAGAAGGGAGAGGAAGGGAGAACAATAACAAAATGATGATCTGAAGTAAAATAATATGCGGACGGATCTAAGCAGTTGAAGCCGACCGCCAGCCACTCTCATTATGCTATGCATAATTTCTAACATCTTAGTGGGCGGGATGAGGTATCAACCAAGTGAAAGTTGGTTGTTTAGAGGCAGTTTCAACTTAACTATACACTAACCGTATTCAACGTCATCAAAAGAAACTACTT